GCTAAGTGAGGCTGCAAGTGCTCGTTTAATCCCCGCAGTAGCACTGTAACTCAAGTGTTACCATCCTCATTTTACAGAGCAGAGAACAAGGTTCTGGGAAGTATACGAAGTTTCTAAAAATCTCACAATCAAACAGTAGCAGGATGTGCATCCACACCACAGATTTTCAGACACCAAAGCCCTAGTCATAAGAATATTTGTACTGTTTTATTTGTTTGGACTTTGCAATTTCATAGCAAGGAGTGTTAGAGGAAACTATCATGAAACAGGCCAAAGCCAAGTATCAAGGAATCAGGTGAGCAAAGCAGAATGGCTGGGGCATGGTCCAAAAGTGATCTGTATGAGTCCCAGAGATGAGCAAATACCATCTTTCCTGTGGAGTAGCTCATGGGCAGGCTGGACACATTTACAAGGCTGGGTCTGAGCTAATTCCTACAGTCTCTTTTTATGTAAGGACCAGAAAGTCTTCATCTGGCATCTCCTTGTGCTAATGTTCTCTTTTTCACTGATGGAATTAATGACTGATACAGTCCAGCATTTGCCAAAGTATGTTCTACGGGACACCAGTTCTGTGGGGTTTATAGGTATGATTTAGAAAGAAGATTCAATTAAATTCACTTCAATTTAATCCAACATATTTATTGACCACCCAAAACAGAGCTGTGAACCACAAATTAAATCATGAAAAATATAGGCAAAGTGTTCAGGGAGCTTGAGGTGGAACCACCAAGAAGTTGAGAAGTATCATGTGAAAGTGATATGGGTTTCTTTACTGCAGACATGTCATGCCTTGTGACTTTCTGAGAGTAGGGTGAGATTTTTAGAAACTTCATATACCTATCAGAATTTCATTCTCTACTCCCCAAATATCTGGCCATAGAATACTGTTTTATTTGTCATAAAGTCTTATCATATGGCACCAAGGCTGGCACTCACCAGAAAAATCCTGGGGAAATGCTGGGGCAGAGACAGACAATAGGTATCACCTCACTTCCCTTCCTTTCACAATATTGGCAGCGGGACCAAAGGGGATGATGGGGAACACTCAAGCCCAGAACGTGGCATCCAGGAGATGCAGGTGTGTGGGACAATGCCTCCATTCATGCACACCTCTTAACTGTGATCTTGAAGGAGAGTCAAGGCAACCTGAAAGTTGCCACAGGCAAGCACAAGGGCTGAGTATACTGTTCTAAGCAGGACTGAGAGACTCACTGAGTCCATGAGGTAGTAGGAGAGAGGAAGCCGTGGGCTGAAAGAGGGGAACAGTCCTTCCCACCTAAGCCTTAGGTGAGGGGAGGATTTCTTGTTAGTCTTGAGGGAGGACATGGTGACAGCTGCACTGATATGAGGGTACAGCATGTCCTGTCTGAGGGATATAAACAGAAGGGTTCACTTAAGCCTGCCACAGCGCTTTGCATGCCAGCAATCAAAGTGTATCACTCAGGCAAAGCAGCCAGGGGAAGAGACGACAAATGGCTAGCATTTTCTTTCTCTTCTCCAGGAAGACTTCTGGGTCTTGGTTACCCTCCGGGTTTTTCCTCTGTCTGATCTCTCTTGCTCTCACGCAATGTTCCCTGCCCGGGCATTACATAACAGCCGGGGCTGCAGGGAACACCTACACAAGAGGCCATGACAGTCAGACAATGGGCAGGCAGAGCTGCCCTGAGAAAATGGAGTCATTCACGGGCTGTGTGAGAGGCGGCTCTGTTCCCAGCTTGGCTCGCTGGTAAATGAAGTGCGCCGGGGACAAAGAGGGAAACTTTACACTCTTGCAATTTTCCCACAGTGGCAGCTCACAGAAAAACAAGGCACTAGCTGGCTTACAGGAGAAAAAGCAACCATATCCATAGACTCTCCTCTCTCTCCTAGGTTGTCGTCTTGTGCCAAAGCCACAGAAAAATCTCCCAGGGAGGGAATGGCAAGGCTATACTTGCTCCGGGTGAGGGTTGTGGAAGGCAGGGAATACGCATGGATCTGCCTTCTGCTTCTATTTCCATCTCTGCTGGATGGGCTTTTACTTCTGAATTAGTTCATATTTGACTCCAGGGCTAGTGCACCACTTTGAAGGTAAAGAATGTTGTCAGTCGAGATGATTACTGTAACAAAAGCAATGTCATCCCCGGTGCAGATGCTCGGGAGAATCTCAGAGCACATTTCCCAACACAGCCAGAAGGCCCAGTTGTTCCCAAGGGCAGGAAGCCACTGCCCAGGGCTGGGTGCAGAGCCATGCCCAAAACATCTTTAGAGGCTGAGCCTAGGGGCTCTTTGCATGGCAATCTCTAGTGCAGAGGCAAGTACAGGTCTGCACTGACTTATAAATCATGGCATGCTAAAAATTTAACCAGAGTTATACGAGATTTTGAAATCTATTGTGGAGCTATCGTACCTGTAGACTATTCCTATTACTGGGAATTCCATTCCAGTCCTCCATACAGAGTGGATCCTGCTATGGGGTAAATGAGAATACCATAATGTATAAGGATCCTTATTTATCCACCTGGAATCCTATCTTCCTACCCAGCATCAGAAGGATTCACAGGACAAAAAGGGAAGACAATAAGGTAATATAAACTACTTTCTGAGTGATGAAAGGGCAACAGTGAGCTCCAGGCTGGGATACGTGTACATACAAAATAGACCTGACTTGCTAGCTTAGTCTTTTACCAGAAGATTCCATCCTTCCTGGCACCAAGGCTACAACATGAATAGGTGCCAATTTCTGAAGAATTCAGTGGTTAGATACTTTGGAATCGGACAGATGGGCCTGGATCCCAACTTCAAAATGGAGTAGATGTGTAACCTCAAAGAAAGTGCCTTACTTGTGTTTCCTCACCTGTACTAATCACAATAGCCTCCATTTTTAGGCAGAGCAGATGAAGGACTTGTCCTGGGAGAGTTGAAGGAAGCAGGCTGCAGGGAACCTCCCTCTGAGACCACTCTCAGCCTGGGGACTATGCTCACAGCCTAGAGCACACTCGTGCGACAGGTGGCACATTTTTAAAAAGAATTCTCACTGACTTGTGAAAACCTCATGACAGAAAAACACTGTTTCATACACTGAACCCTGGAAACCACTGCCCAAAATAATTTGTTACAATTTAATCCAACACAGGATTTACTTACATTCTTTAAAATTTTCTCCTCTATACTTCAGCTTGTGTTTTTAGGGTTTAAGAGAACTGGACACCTCCTTGGGGCTTATGGATGATCAGAGAATTGGCACTAACAATTTTTGTGCACTCACGTTCTAGGACCCATGCTAGACCTGTGTACGAGGGGTACTCACAACAGAATAGAGGAGAGAGGTCATAAAGTGGGTTCTATGCCATGACAATAAAGGCTGAAATAACAGTGCTGGGAAGGGCTTTGCAGAGGTGGGAATGCCTAAGCTCAGTCATAGTAACTGTGCCAGCCAGGTGAAGGCACAGGGGTGCACCCTGGCAGGAGTGATGCATGGGAGGGCATGGCGATCCAAGCAATCCTGTATGTCTGACACATGACAGTAGGTCCTCATGCCTGCAGCACTGAAAGATGGAACGGGATGGAAGGCTCAAAAAAAGGCAGGCCACAGGGCAGACCTCCGTAATATCCCCAATTAGCCCTGAGACGTCACTTCTTCCTCAACAGTGCCTTCAGTGGAGATAGCTGCTGCTTATTCAATGGTATTTTAATCCTTTACGCAGAATGGTAAAGCAGGAACAGCCTGTGAGTAATTCCTTGTGGGTTTTCACATCAGTAGTCTCTATAATTGCCTTGTTTTTCCAATTTGAAGAGAATTCTTCAGGCAATTAAGTTTATGCTTATACAACTATTCTCTTCTCTCCCTTCTGACCTTTGAAACTGATATTTGTTGGAAAAGCTATTTTTTCACCAAATTGATCTAGATACTCATTGACTAGCTGTTGAGCATGGCTGCTTCCCACAAGGGCCTCAGCACTTAAATTGAATGATAGCTACCATTATCGAACAATTATATGCCCGAACTGTGCTATATGCTTTTTGAAATTATTTTGCAATCCCCAAAGCAAATTGGTGAGGAAGGTATTGTTAATATTATTATTATTTCCATCTTGCAGATGCCAAAATGCGGGCCAGTTCACAAGCAGAACTGAGATTCTATTTGATTCCAAAATTTCCATTCTTAGGTAGTTCACTGCTCTGCTCATAAAACGCTTTTGAGGTAAAGATGTGTAAGATATATGGCAACTGCTTCACAATGAACAAGCAAGGTTTTAGATCAGAAAGGTTTTTCCTCTTGAAGAAACAGCCCAGGAGCGCAGCGGTTAGGGAGTGTTCCAAAGGAAGAAATCTGAAGTGAGCAAAGGTCTCTGACACATGGGAGCATGAATTCAAATATCTCTGGGGAATTTTAATGGTATTTTTTTCTGTAAGATCCCCATTCTCTAAAGTGTGGGTTTAAGTTAATCATAAACCATCAAAATTGATTTGTTAGCTATAACACCTGCACCACACTCATACAAGATGTTACAGATAGGGAAAAATCAAACAGGAGATAAATGGAGCTCTATGTGGTCTTTGCAGTGCTCCATGAATCTAACGTTCATGTAAAAAGTAAATTTTATTTTAAAAAATTTGTTCTACAGAGCCACATATGTACTTGAGAACTGATTCTTAAAAACTCTTCTGGAAACAGTTTACTATACATATGATGATGACCTAGAATAAACTGAGCAGTAATTACAGTGGTAGATCGGAACATGTCATTATTTGGTTCTTTTTCTTAATTTTAAAAATAAAAGGGGGAAAACATTAACAGACAGACAACCATTTACAAAATAGCAAAAGAACAACATAAACAATACAGAGTTACAAACAAAGTGGTAGGAAATTAACAATGCTTGCTGTATTACATATTGATATCTTCAAAGTGGTTTCTCATGAAAACATATAGAGACGTCCAATATTGATCAATCAAGGACTCACTAACTGTTTCTTTCAGCAAAGAAATAGAAGACAGTAGATCAAATATGTTAACTATACTGTATATACATACGTACAAAATTTCTCCTTCTTTCCCTTCTTTTTTCCCACATTCCAGTTGCCCTCCCACATCCCTTTACCCTTGAGGTTTTCCTTTCGGTTCACAATGTCCTTTTACCCTTTACCCTTTACCCTTGAGTTGCCCTTTACCCTTGAGGTTTTCCTTTTATTTCCCAATGTCTATCTCATTATTTGGTTCTGAGAGATGGGATGACTACCAAAATCAGTGAGTATCAGGACAAAATTTTTGCATCAAAATGCGCCAAATAAGAAATTGAACAAGTTTCAAAGCAGTGGCTCACCAAGGTATAATTTGTACTAATGACTAAGGGTTAATATAGAGGTTCCAAAGCTGTATGCTGTAACATTTGTATCTCTAAATCAACATATGCAGATATAGATACAGAAGTCAGTATGCTTAGTTTTTATTTCATACACAGTGCATGATTGACAAAAATTTCGTGATCTATACTTTTAATTTTGTTATTCGTATCTTTAGGAATTATAGTCTTTTGAGCCTGACCCAGGCTCCTCTGTCCCTCTCTCAAGAGTAGTTGTTGAACTGTAATAATGCCTGGAGCTGAAGAAGGGGCTTCCAAAGGCTGATGTCATGAATTCAGGCTGGTAGGGGGCTGGTCTTTCCTTCATTCTCCGGCATGTGAAAGTGTTCTCTGGTGTGAAACCTCCTATTCTAGTTATGCCCCATTTTGGCAGTTGATGCAGCCTCTGGATTTTAACTGGGCTACTTTTTGCTGTTGTCCTCCTGCTCCAGCTTTTGCACCACCACCCAGGTTACTGGGAGCATGTTTCATGAAGAATTCACTTCGTTTAACTAAAATTACTCAACTTCATTCTACTGTCATCTGCTTTCTCCAGAAGAAGGCCTGTGATCTAAGAAGGAAGACCCCTATCTGGGGCAGTATGACCAGCAGGAGACCAACAACCCTCAAAAGGCAGAGGGGAAACATCTTCAGAAAGACTTGGTTCCCAGGGTCCCATCCTAATCACTCCTCTTTCTTAAGCACCAATGCAGAAAGGCTGATTGATATGAATGGAATTATTATCCAGAAAGCCAGCAGGGACTGGTTGAGCTTCCTCACAGAGGCTACTGAAGTCTATCAGGAGGAATTTTTATCCCTCTAGGCCCAGAGTGTTGGGAAGAATCAAAGAACCCAAGTTTTACCGAATTCAGCCCCACATTTTGTTTTCCAGCCAAAGGTCATCTTGAACCACAGTGAAAAGCAAAGTTTCCTTGAAAGAGAAGGTGATGGGATCCGAGGTTGGTTCTCCAGTTTAGATGCAGACCATGGAGGGTAGTTTCTTACTTTCATGAAGTAGTTACAGTGCATACAGCACTTAGTGAAAGTAGTTCACAGGATATTGAGAGTTTGTTCCCTCTTTCTGCCATGTTGCTTCTCTTATCTGGATTAAGAAGCTTCTTGGTCAGTTATCCAATAGACTGGAATCTAGAGAAGGCAAATTTCTTCTTTGCTTTTTCATAATGCCTGTACAAAGAAAGTGAACTTGCTGGGCATCTATCCAAAGGCTGTTCCTGCATTAGTTACTAGATCTAGCACTTTGGTCATCAAGAATGAGAAAGAATTCAACAACAACCCAAATATTTTAGCTTGTGAGGGCCTCCCTCCAATATTAATGGGAAAAGGGTAAAGACCAGGGCAGGGAGGCTGAGCTCTGAGATTTAAGTCCAACTCCTCACTTGCAGGGCAATCTCACCAACCAGGGAAGGATTTCATGCTCACCCTTTCTATGATGGAACAAGAGAGAGGTGGAGATGGCCAGGTACTCTCCACAACTAGAATCAGCTCCCTTGGAGGCTTTGTGTGTATTTAAAGTACTGTAGGAAAATAAGGAGGTTTCGAGAACTCGGCAATGTTTAGGCTACTGCACAAGATCACACATTACCTACAAGCTAAACAACAATTCGGGTTTCATGTGACTATAAGGTTCAGGCCCCTGTTACTTGAAATCTGAGACCCTCAACAAGAGTATGGCCAGTACAGATTGCAAAAGGGGGAGTGTGGGAAACCCAGGGATGATTATATGTGCACATGTAAACTCCTGAGCATCGTCAACACTGGAAAGGCCAGACCTCACCTTGAATGTGGTGACAAGAGTGCCCAAATGATGCTATTAAAATCTGAGCCCTCTAGTGCACCTATTGTAGGAGCCAATGTGCATCCCTAGCCCCATGATGCCAAAAGAAAAACTAAAGCCCTCAGAGCTCAGCTTATTTACCCAAGTCCCTAATACACCAGGAGAACAGTGCTTTGAAGTCCATTTGAGGTAGTTGAAGGCTGATGGACATGCCCAGAATCCCTAAATGGAAATAAGTATTGGTTACCACAGCAGCACGGGCAGGCCCTATCTGGACAAGAGGTCACCTGGGGCTCCAAGAGTTACTTGTTCAGCTCTGGTATCTAAACAACCGAAGTGAATTATTCACTTAGGGTGAAAAACAACCATCTCCCCTGGATTGTCAGATGGAGTTTTTCAGCATGAAATGCCTTAGTCACTTGGAATCCAACCAAAGTAAACTCCTGGTACTGACCCACCCAAATCTTTGTATGGAAGGAAATGGAGAGAGAGAGAAATCCCACAACTAATAAAAAAGCAGCTGTTGGCTGCCTGTCGCCCTCCACAGCAGGTCTGTTCCAGGTGAGGCAGAGTTTCAGGAAAGCTGCAGGTGATGAGCAGGTTGCAGAAGGGCTGTCAATGGCATCTCTGTTTGGGCCCGGGCCTGATGGGGCTGTGGCTTACATAACAGTTTGGAAGAGAGCCATGGCCAGGCGGAAGCACGCGGGCTGCCAGCAGCGCATAATCATCTTTGATTTCTCTGTTTGCTCAGCAGCTTTCATGCAATGGGGGTGGCAGCAGTGCAGGAGGAGGGGAGGAATTCCAACACACTGCAGTCTTCTGTTTCCTTCTGCAGGACAAACAGCCCCCAACAGATTCCTTTGGCCAGGGAATTAGCAACTGCCACACAGGTAGTGGCAGTCTGAGGGAAGAGCTGCCCTGGAGCCTGGTCCAGGCCCAAGAAAGCCAGAGATGAGCATAAAGGTGACAGGAGCCTGCTGCTGGGATGTAGGGTCCTAGCTGCTGGCAGCACCTGATGATGTTTGCCCTTTATCTGGGAGGGCTGTGCCGGCCCCCTTTGATTATAGAGTCACGGAATCCCATGCCATGTTCACCCTAAAAGGCAGATTTTCAGGCCTGTGGTTTAGCAAAATATGCACTCTCTATGCTATCCCTTTGGTGTTAGTGCCAGTTTGATCATGTATGCTGGAGTCTGGGCATATGAGAGCAATGCATTTAGACAAGGACATTCTCACTTCATGAAAAACACAAATTTCCAACTTCAGTTTTGCCTAGAGTTGACTAGCAGTTGTTCCCCCTTAGAATGGACACACTTGCTGTAGTCCGCACTACTCCTGGTTGTCTTACACCTGGAGATCTCTTCACGTACTTATTCCACTTACCTGCCTCTTGCAAGAATTTTTTAGGATGAATTTTCTGTTCCATCCTAATAGTAACCATTTAATATTATTCTAATCCACCTACTCTCTGACTTTCCCACTAGACTATAAGCTCCTTGGACAGCAGCTTAAATTGATCATTTACTTATTCATTCAACAGTTAACTACAGAAGGATCATCTGGGACACTACTGTGCTTACCAAGGGGCTTCCAGTGCCTGGCACTCAGGATTTGCTCTCTACATGAGTTTTAATGAAATCAACAAAATTCTTCCTGCATGTACACTGCTGATCTTGGCAGTCTGTTTCTGTTGCTAAATATGCCCACACTCGCAGCCCTATGAGCAGGTTTACTGACAGGATACACCTTGTTTTGCAAGTGACACGTGTGAACTTGTGTAATGTTGTCCTCAAACATTCCTCTATGCACAGATGTTTTCTAATCCCCAGCTGGCATCTCTGGCCTCATTTTTTGCTCCTCCTGCCCTATGCAACTATACTGAACTCCTTGTATTACTTCCCTTCACTCACTTTACTATTCCCTTGCTTACTCTGTCCCTCCAGTGTGGAGTGCCCTTGACCTATCTACTACTTTGCTTCATTCCCACCTCTCTCAACCAGCTCTTGGCACCTCACAAGACCAGACTTCACCCTCTCACAAACCTCCCCATTGCTCCGGGCTGGATTAGGAGCTCCTACTCTCTGTTCTTATTTCCTGTGTGGATCTCCTATGAGTTAGTCTCTGCCACCATACTGCAACCCCATGAAGCAGGGACTGGGCTTTTCATTTCTGTATTCTTGGGGCCAAGCACACTGTAGGAACTTTATACATCTAGAGAGAACAATTTGGTCATGCTTGTCAGTGAAACCCAGGCTGGGCCCAGCACCTGTGTCAGGACCACATCAGTTTAGCATCCCCTGACCCCCATTTGTCCACCCCAGCAGAGTCCAGATAGCTGGACAATGCTCCCATTGGTTTCTGGCTTTGTACAGAGCTGGGCTGCCTGGTGATGTATCATGCTCTTTCCTCATTATAATTACTGCCCACGCTCTGTGTGTTTTCTCAAGCTTTCAGTGTTTGATACACGAACTTCTTCTGCTGTCATCTGAAAACAATACCATCTGTTCACTAGGTGGAAGTTCTGGATAGGTTTTACTGAAGAGCAGCCCATACATAACTCCATGGGATTCTGATGAAAGAAATTAAAGAAGACACAAGTAAATGGAAGGATATTCCGTGTTGGTGGATTGGAATAATTAATAACTAGTATAATGTCAACATTATCAGAGGCAATATACAGATTCAGTGCCATCCTTATCAAGATTACAATGACATTCTTCACAGAAAGATTAAAAACAGTTATAAAATTCATACAGAACCTTAGAAGATTCCAAATAGCCAAACAATTCTGAAAAAGAAAATAAAGCCAGAGGCATCATACTAGTGATTTAAAATATTATAAGGTTATAATAATAAAAAGCAGTAGATACTGTCATAAAATCAGGGACACAGAGCAATAGAACAAACTAGAGGTCCAAGAAGTAAACCTGAACTTATATAGTCAACTAATTTTCATCAAAGGCACCAAAAAGATGCAATGGGGAAAAGGCAATCTCTTCAATTAATGGTGGTAGGAAAATTGGATTTTCACATGCAAAAGAGTGAAGTTGGACCCTTAAGCCATACATGAAAAATAATAATTCAAAATGGACAAAATTCTAAATAATAAGATCTGAAATCTTCAGACTCCTGGAAGAAAATATTGGGGGAAAACTCCTTGACACTGGCCTTCAATTTTTTTTTTATATAACATAAAAAAATTAAGGTTGTAAAAGCAATAACAAATAAATAGGACTTTATCAAGCTTAAAATCTTCCCAACAAAGAAAATTAAAATGAACTTTTCCCTACATGTTGGGAAAATATATTTGCAAAAGATATATCTGGCAAAGGGTTAATATCTAATATATATAAAGAATTCACATGATTCAATGAAAGTAAAACACCAAAGCATTTGAATAGATATTTCTCCAAAGAAGACTTCAAAATGGCCAGTAGGTATATGAAAAGGTGCTCAATAGCACTAATCATCCATGATGACTAAATGATGAATAAATCAATCACAATCACAGTGAGATGTCATCACACGCCTGTTAGGATGGTTGTTATCAAAAAGATAAGCAATAACAAGTGTTGTGAAGCATATCTAGAAAAAGGAACTCTTGCACATTACTAATGAGAAGCAGGCACTGCTGGGAAATAAGTACAGAGGTTCCTAAAGAAATTAAAAACAGAACTACCATGTGATACAGCAATTTGTCTTACAGGTTTATACCCAAAAGAAATCAAATCACTACCTTAAAAAGATGTCTGCACATCTATATCCTTTGTAGCATTATTATAACAACTAAAATATGGAAACAACCTGCACATAAAGATCTACCAATTACAAGTAGGTAAAGAAATCATGATATGCACATATGTGTACATGCACATACACAAGACCCTGTCACTTGCCATGACTTGGTTGAACCTGGCAGATATTCTGCCAAGTGATATAAGCCAGAGCCAGAATCAGAAAGAAAAATATCACATAAACTCATATGTACAATCTACAGGGGGAAAAAGATCAAAAACACACACACAGAGAATACAACAGTGGTTGCCAGGGCCAGGATGGGGGAGAGGAAGAAAACAGGAAAATATAGGTCAAAGAATTCAGCGTATCAAAATACATAGGATTAATAGTCTAGGATCTAATATATGTGAGGACTATTGTTAATAATTGTGTATTTAAGATTTTTGCTAAAAGACTTGATTTTAGATGCTCTTGCACATACATAAAAAGTCAGTAGCTATGTAAGACAATGGGTGTGTTAATTTGCTTGACTATAATAACCATTTCACTATAGATATTAAATCATGATGTTGAGGTAGGGGGTGCAGGTCAGTGTAGAGCCCCTGCATTATGTATGTGACCCTGGGATTGGTCCTCAGCATCACAAACAAACA